TCTCTCTACCTGTGACAAAATTATACTATTTTTAGTATTACATAGAGATGTGATAAAGGAAAGAGAAACTTCTATATTAATACGTATTTTGCTCCTTTTATGCACTCTTGGTTTTAAAAAATACTAATCTTAAAATTTTTAGGAAATTCCTTTAACTTTATGACAGGTGACAGAAGGTGGGAATGTTCAAAGCTACAGAACAAGGGATTTTTTATTTATTACACTTGAAAGTATCACTCATTGACTGCTGCAGTTAGGAACATACCATCCCTGGATAATAAAGGTTAAGTGTGCATAAATTCGAGATCTGCTTACAACTGACCTTTAGCTGTCTTGTTAGCAGTTTTGACAGAAACTTAAAATAAGGTTATTCCATAAAATAACTTGATTATACACTCTCAAGTCCAGATTTGTTACTCAGTAATTAATACCTGCCAGCTAGACAGAACCTTCAATATTCGTAATGAAACAACAAGCCATCATGATAGTGAAAAAAGGTGAGCAGGTCAAAGGAAAGAAGCACCAGGCTCTGATCCTCACTCTGCCACTGCTTGGAATGTGGTCCCAACATGTCACTAAGACTCTCCGATCTTTATAGATTAAATTGGACAGACTCACCAACTTTGAGTTTGAGTTTGCCCATCCATGAGTATAGCCAATATATTCATTTGTTCATAGAACACTGTGCCCGTCCTCCATTTTGCTTGTCAATAATACTTTGTCATTGTCTCCATAAAGTCTTATGCATTGACTGTTAGTTTTATTACTCTTTATCTTAAAGAGTTTGTTTTGCTTCATTTCTTGCTATTGTGAATATTTTAAAAAGTATTTCCTATGTACTTTTTAGTGGCATATGGAAATGCTATTATTTTTAGTGTGCTGATCTTCTATGCAGCAATTTTCCTGAACTCCCTTACTAATTACACTTGTTTGTAGATTCTCTGGGCATTCTATGTAGATAGCTATATCATCCTCAAATAACAAGAGTTTTGTTTCTTCTTTGCCAATATTCATACATATTTTACTTTCCTCATTAGCTAGAACCTCCAGTACAATGTTGAAATGATGACACCAGTCTCCATGCCTCCTTTCTATGGCTTTCTCCATAATGAGAATGTTCCTAAAGTTTCTCCATAAAGTATGATATTTGCTGTAGGTTTTTCCTTAGAGTTTTTATTTTTTAATGATTTCATCAAATGCTTTATCTGCATCTAAGATGATCTCATTTTTCCTCCTTTGATCTAAAAATTTAAACATGATATTGAAGTATCCTGGTTATTTCTGCAATACAGCCCACTTGGCCATAATTTTGAACATGCCACTGAACTCAATTTGCCTAGTACTTTATTTTGATTCAGTGAGATTGGCCTGATCATTGTGGCAAGGTTATGCTGGCCTCCGATAGCAAGTTGTATCCGTTTCCTTCTTTTTCTGTTCTTAAGAAGTCTTTACAGATGGGCATTTTTCTATTTTTTAAGGTTAGGTGATTTCACTGTGATTCAATTTTAACATGTTATTATTTCTATAAGGATTTTCTCTTTGGTCTGAGTGATTTAAAAGTGTTTTTAAATTTCCAAATGTGTGGAGATTAAAAGTTTGCCTATCCTTTTCTTCAGAAAATGTAAGGCATATGTCATACTTTGGAATTTCTTGAAACTTACTTTGTGTCTTACTACTATTCAGTTTTCTAAGCTGTCCCTTGTACGCTTGTAAAAAATGTTTTATCTAATTATTGAATGCAAGGTTTTATATAGGTCCATTAAGTAGACCTTATGTCTAAAACTTGTCTAAATTGGTAACCTTGTGGAGAGTTACAGTTGGAAGAAAGTCTCTCCACTTACACCAAGAAAAGTTACAAATGGATTCATGATTTCAATATAAAGAAATCATAAAAATACTAGAATAAACCATTATAAATTGTTTCTATTCTGCTACAAAATGGGGAAAAATCTTTTTTTTCAGGCTGAAAATGCTGTTTATTTAATTATTACAATAATAGTCATTAAATTATTACAAGATTTTGTGCTTGAATATGGAGAGATCTTTCAGCCTGAGCAGTTGAATTTTCATATAATTTTGTAATGTATGATGACAAAATTTTTTTTTTATTTGGACATGATTTATTGTATAAACACCTTTAATATATTTTGTTTTGAGATATATTCTGTTTTTCTAATTTTATTTTATTATGTTAATCACCATACATTACATCATTAGTTTTTGATGTAGTGTTCCATGATTCATTGTTTGCGCATAACACCCAGTGCTCCACTCAATCCGTGCCCTCTTTAATACCCATCACCAGGCTAACCCATCCCTCCACCCCCTTCCCCTCTAGAACCCTCAGTTTGTTTCTCAGAGTCCATAGTCTCTCATGATTCGTCTCCCCCTCTGATTCCCCCCACTTCATTTTTCCCTTCTTACTATCTTTTTTTTTTTTTTAACATATAATGTATTATTTGTTTCAGAGGTACAGGTCTGTGATTCAACAGTCCTATACAACTCACACCCCACCACCACTCCAGCAACCCTCAGGTTGTTTCCTGAGATTAAGAATTCCTCATATCAGTGAGATCATATGATACATGCCTTTCTCTGATTGACTTATTTCGCTCAGCATAACACCCTCTAGTTCCATCCATGTCATTGCAAATGGCAAGATTTCATTTTTGGGTTTTTTTGATGGCTGCATAATATTCCATTGCATATATATATACCACATCTTCTTTATCCATTCATCCATCACTGGACATCTTGGCTCTTTCCATAGTTTGGCTCTTGTGGACATTGCTGCTATAAACATTGGGGTGCACATACCCCTTATTATAATGCTGGGGGAAAAATCTTTTTAATGATGACTCAAAATTCAGGACCTCACAAAAGGTTAATGAATTCTAAAACAAAAGTCTGCATGGCAAAAACAATTTTTTGAAATGTTACGTTTCCAAATGTTTGAATGTTATGGACGTAACATACAAAAGTTGAATCTCCCTAACATAAAAGAGCTCATTTATTGAACACTACATCTGAAACTAATGATGTACCATAAGTTGGCTAATGGAATTTAAGAAAAAATGAATTTGGTGAAAAAAAAAGGCTCAAAAAAGAGAGAGAAAAGAAAACAAGTCAATGGGTACCAAAAAAATGGCAAAGGATATGAAAATACAACTCACAGAAAAGGATATATAAATGGCTTTCAAAAATATCTTTAAAAGGCTATTATTCTCACAGTAAGAGAAGTGGAACTTAAAACAACACTGAAAGAATATTTACCTATAACATTGTCAAAAATCAAACTGATAGCGTTTTCTTCGAATAAACAATGGAAAACAGCTACTGTCATTTATTGTTGATGAAAATATAATTTAATGCCATCCCGTGAAGCACCATTTGGCAATTTCTGTCAAAATTGTAAATATATAAAAATATATACCCTTTGAGAAAGCAGTTTCTATTCCAGGAATTTATCCTATATCATATTTATTATTTCTTTTAACCATACCTTTTTATTTTTCATTTTTCTCTGTATTTTGAATGTGATTCTTATAAACAAATTTATAACTGAAGTATATTTTTTCTTAACAATTTATTAAGAGAATAAGATAATTTATACTTAAGATGATTACTTACATATTTGGGTTCATCCTACATATTTTCTCCTCTCCATGTGTTTTTCTGCTTTCCAAACATCCAGCTGGGATGTTTGACTAGCCTTCTGTTAGGTCAATAGAGCTTTATCCACTCCCTCTACTATATTCTGTTCTCTTGGAAGTTAATTCTGTTTCTATTCTATTGACTGGTATTCTTGCACTTTAATATATTTAATTAAATTTGAAGTTAACCACTAACTTTATTTTCATCCCTATCAATACAAGGAACTTACTTTGACTCAGATCACTTTCCTGTCATTTTCTCTACTTTTCCTTTCTAGTATTACGACTTCACTTTGTAACCTCATCATAATTGATGATTAAAAAAAAATTTATAGTCAATGCGTTGTTTGGTCTTAATTCAGTTTATTTACTGTTATCTCTTGCATCTCATTTCTCTGTCCTTTGTTCAGCTTATATAGTACATTTTATCCTTCAGTGAGGATGATGATCTCTGGGTTGAAAAAACAAAAAATCTCCATCTTGGTCAAATACATCTAGTTTGTCTTTATCTTGCATGCCAGTTTAGCTGAGTATGGCACTGAAGATTAATCATTGTTCCTTTAACGCGTTGAGGGGTGTTTACCACCTTGTGGCCTCTATTTTGTTAATGAGAAGTGTAATTTCGAGCCCAGTTTTGATCCTTTATATGTCATCTATCTTTTGTTTCTAGTTGCTTTTAAATCTTTTCCTTGACTCTGGAGTTCTATCGTTTTTCTGAAGTGTCCAGATTTGCGTCTTCAGCCTGAAGATTCACATCTTTCCTCAGTTGTCATTTCTCCAAATACCTCCTTTCCCTGTCTCTCTGGAACTCCCTGGGGTCGCACGGGGAGCAAGTCAGATGGGGGCTTTCTGGTGCTACCTCTGCATTGGCTTTCCAGGTTCTGTGACCCAGGCCCTGCCTTCTCTTTTTGTCTTGGTCAATCTATTATCCAACGACTGGATTCTGAAGTTAATGCTGCTCTATATCCTTTGGAAATTTTATTCAGTCCTTTTCTAAAAATATTCTATGTTTTAAGCACTTTTAAAAATTCTTGTTTTTTAAAAGATTTTATTTATTTGAGAGAGAGAGAGAGAGAGAGCACGCGCACACACAAGCAGGGGGAGGGGCAGAGGGAGAGGAAGAAGCAGACACCCTGCTGAGCAGGGAGACTGACCTGGGCCTTGATCCCAGGACTACAAGATCATGACACTAGCTGAAGGCAGATGCTCAACCTCCTGAGCCACCCAGGTGCCCCCACTTTAAAAAATTCTTTTCAGATTTTATTCTGTAATTTCTAGTTGCTAGTTCCAGAGCTCATTACCATGCTCACTGGTCTATTTAGTCTTTCTTATGGTGGTTCCATCACCATGACGGTGGTAAGTTTTAGATGGAGTTGCATTTTCTATGGCAGCCCTAATACTCCCATGAGCTCATGGGAGTATTAACACTTTCCATTTGCTTTGTCTGGGTCCCAGAAGTTTCCTTTCCATGGTCTGGGAAATGGGAATATATATATATATATATAATTTATATATATATATACACACACACATATACACATATATATATAAATTTTTAAATTTTTTTTTTACTTTAGATTTCTACTAGATTTTTACTTTAGATTTTTACTTTAGGTTTCTGTTTCTCAAAAGAGATCTTTCCCATTAAGAGCTTTGTCACATGCTCTCTTTCTCTTTTCCACAAGTTTTCTTTGTCTCTACAAACTCAAGGAGAGACTTTCTGGTTCCCTTTCCAAGGTGGGGCAACCCTTGTAGGGCCCCAGTCCTATGCAAGAGTCTCAGCTTAGCCCCTTCTCTTGCTAAATGCCCTGTTTTCCTGGACTCTGGAGACATTAAAACCTCAGTCCCAATCGTGAGATCTGATCTGTGTCTGCTACTCTCTTAAGTCAAATGGCACCACCTCTGTGACTCTGGATTTTTGTCTTTATCTCTAGCCTCTGGGGATTTCCTGACATCGACTTTGCATTGAACACGTTTTGGTATTTTTTAGGCTTTGTAGCAGTCTAAGGATCACATTAGTCTTGTCTTCCGTCCTGTGTGAGGTCTCCTTTTTGACATTAAAGAGCATTTTTCATGCTCAAAAGTCTTTGCATCAAAAATTTCATGCATTAGTACATAATTTTAACTATATATTCAGTATCATTGAAAAAGCTTAAAATGACATTTTTTAAGTTATTTATCATAACCACATCTACATGCATTTGAAAAATAAAAGTACATCCATTTTTGAAATATGTTATACACACTATCCACAAACAGTGCTTAATGCCTATATAATTTGTAAGCCCTCTTGCAGTAACTCACCAGCTTCCTCAAGGAAGAACAGTGGGGCTGAGGCTTTATTTTATAAATGCCATAGTAAGTCCAAATGAAGTCATAATATATTAATAGATAATTATACTTTTTCAGATTAATTTGTGATTCTAAGCAAGATCTTTGGTTCCTATAACAGATATTTCCAGGTATATTGTATTTGCTAATTGAAGCAAAGTTACGGAAAATGTAAGAGTAAGTTTCTAATTTGAGTTTTTAATGAAAATCATTAACCTCATTGTGTTTCTGACCTTTCGGTATAGCATTACTACCTTACACATTTGTTATGGGGATAAAAAGTTATATATGATATTCCGGGTAAAGTTAGAATTTTATTGCTTTTGACCAAAGGTCACTGTAAGATTTAGAGATAACTTGTGAGCACTGTGTGATCTTTAAAAAGTTATAAAACATAAATTTTAAAAAGAGAGAGATTCTGTGAGTAAAACTACTTGATGTTTCTGGAGTTAACATCCAAGTGGTCATCAATCAGTATGTTACTGTGTAATTTTATCTGATGTATCTAAAATGGTCCTTGTTCTGTGTCCTACTTCAAAGAGATTTCTTTTAATTCTGGATTTCTTGCATAAACTTCAAAGAAAGGTTCCCAAATTTTACAAAAGTTTGAAAACTATTTTTATAGTAATACTAAAGAAATATAAAGTGTAATATGTCATTAAAACAAGTTATCCTAAGAGCAAAATGATTTATATAACTGAAGTTTATTGCTGAATAAACAGCAAAAATGACCTTTTGTAAGTCTAAATGAACAAAAAAAAACCACATTGATTTAGAAGAATTCTTTTTTTTTTTTAAGATTTTATTTATTTATTTGAGAGAGAGAATGAGAGATAGCACGAGAGGGAAGAGGGTCAGAGGGAGAAGCAGACTCCCCGCTGAGCAGGGAGCCCGATGCGGGACTCGATCCCAGGACTCCAGGATCATCACCTGAGCCGAAGGCAGTTGCTTAACAAACTGAGCCACCCAGGTGCCCGATTTAGAAGAATTCTAAAGAATAATCATCACCATGTGACAAATACATGCACAAAGACAAATAAGGGATCTCCTTACTTTTCTTAAATTTTAGTTTTAATCTTGAATTATTCTCAATATCTAGATTTTTGAAAAAAGACCTTGTGTTATGATCAATATATTACTTATGGACATACATTAATGTTTGTTTTTGATGATGCTATGAAAACCAGAAACTTTTCCTTCTAAAGTTTTAAAAATAAACAATAGCAAATTAATCCCTAAATGATTTGTAGTGAAATGAGGGTGAATAGAAGCACCAAGAAGCAAGCCATTCTGATTGTTAAAATACTCATAAAATTCATGAAATGTAAATAATCACTGTAGTCCTAATGGGGAAGACATAGCATTTTATTTGTAGAGTATGCAAAGTTGTAGAAAACAATTGTTGGTATTTGAGTAGACTAGGACACCCTGCATTACTAATGATAACAGGGATGGAGACATGAGGTTAAGTGGAACAGTCACCAAGAGATTATAATAAGGCTGAACCTCTATGTGCCTAACAACATAGCCTGAGAGACAGTATCACATCCTGCAGCCAGACAGCTTGGGTTCAGATCCCAGCAATGCCTCTCTCTAGCTGGAGACCTTAGGCAAGTTATTGAACCTCTTAGTGCCTCAGTTTCTCCATATGGAGAATGGAGATACTCATAACACCCACCTTTTAGAGTTGTCATGAGGAATGAAATGAACTAATACACCTAAGTATTTACAATAGTGTCTGGTATCATAAACATGGCATTTTTTTACTGCTGCTGTTGTGGATGTTCTTAGTATTGTTTCCCCAAACCACACAAAGAAACAAATCAATGGAATTCCAAGGAAAAAAATGGCATGTCAGCCGTCTTAGTAGGAGATTTTTAATTTGCTTCTCCAAGTGACCTAAATTCATTTTTAAATGTTTGAGAAAGACATGAGATAGCAGCAATAAAATATTTAAATAGGCTTTCTTATTTTTCAAATCACTGCCCCCCCAAAAAGTGATCTACGTTAAAAAAAAAAAAAAAAACTGCAAAATAGAAAGGAAAAAGTAAATGTAAAACACAACCAGGGGCCAAAAAATAAGATGACAGAAGTCAAAATAGACATTGTGATAAATATGAGTGACTGAAAGTATTAAAAAGTCCTAGATCACATTAAAATACAAAATTTAATAATTTGTATTTATAGGACACATATGTACAAATGTGACAGTGGGCTAAAAGAATTAGAAAAACATCAATAATATAGAAAAAATATAATACAGATGACATTTATATTATGAAGTTAGGCTACAAGGTAAAACTGATAGTAACACTGTACGTTTTGGAGCTGAATGATGTAGCAATACCTTTTAGTTGTCATGAGGAATGAACAAAACAGTTGTACAAAATGGTGTTCTAAAATGTCTTCAAATACACAATAATCCTTGAAGGCTGGCATTGGATATATATTCCATAAAATGTTGCTATGAACAAAGTAAATTTTATGAATGTAAAAGGAATATAAAATGAAATTGATGTCCATGTATACCTCCCTCTGGGACTCATTTTCCAAGCTCCAATTCCAAGAGGACATCTAAACATTCAACTCTTGACTGTTTACTTCCTTAGTTGGCTGGGAAGTCCATGAGCAGACTGGAGACAGACCTCCTTCTTGGGGAACTGCAGGACATTTGATTCAATCTACAATAGACACTTGGGGATGTGATAGGGGTGTTACCAGTTACTCATCCCTGGGGACAGGCAGCCATGTGGCTAGAGACTCCAAAAAGCTGAGAGAGAGCTAGAAGATATAAGAACCTCCTAATGTAAAAAGCAGTTTCTCTGAGGTCTTGATGGGCTCCTCATTTAATTATAAGGTGGTAATTCAAAGCTGGGTGCATTCATAAGGACTTGAAGACCTGGGGAATTTGCACCTCCCCCTGGAAACGCTGCATGCATCCTTTGCTCTGTAAATGGATTGTGTCCTCAGTCTGAGTCTGTTGGCTTCTTTCCATTCATGATATCACCATCACTTCTGTCACCTTGCAGGTAGCAAGTCAGGTCATGGATACTCTAGACAGTGAAGGACCTGGGCTAGAGGCTGGAACAGATCTCCTGCAGCGCTCAACACATCTCTTTTCTCAACCCCAGAGGTTTTGTTTCCATTTGCTGTTGCTGCTGGATGCTTTTACAAAGATCAGGACAGGAAGTCATGGAGGCATTATTGAGGGTGAAGGATATAGCAATGGAAAAGTGATATATTTCTGTTCCCCAATGGAGCAGCCAAGAGAGATTGGGATATTTTTATTTTTTTTGAGGTGACTTGAGAGCATCAACATTCTCCTTATCCTGCAGGATCCAGGGAATATTCACACAATCCTGTTTTATCCCTCACTCTCATACTTGCTAGGTCCCGAAAAGACACATTTCACAAGAATATACTGGTGTGCCATCCCTATTAGATTCCTGTTGGAAATTCATATGCTAATCTCTCTTCAACTGTTTTTTCTTTTTTTCATTCTGTTCTTACATATGTCTTTTCAACATACATACGGTGGACTTCTTGAATGCTTTTCAATATTACATTTGTGCCAAATGGTAAAATACTAACCAAAGGACTGCAAAACAAATATCAATGTTGATTATTTATTATTTATTATTCCAATCTGTTAAAATGTAAAGGTCAATGACTGTGACCCCATTGCTAATGGAATAAAGACATGCTGATGTACTTCAGGTCGTTAGATGAGTTGCTTAATAAAGTTTTCCCAAAGTCCTGAAGAACGTGCTCCTCCTAAGTCAGTGACAGCCTCATAGCTGATCCAGCCATGCTTTGCCCCATTGTTGTCTTCACATGGCATTTCTTCTCTCTCCTTTCAGGTAGAAATTGAGAAGCTGGATTACCATCATTATCTGCCCCTGTTTTTTGATGGGCTCTGTGAAATGACATTTCCCTACGAGTTTTTTGCTCGGCAAGGAATCCACGACATGCTGGAACACGGGGGGAACAAGATTCTTCCTGTCATTCCACAGCTCATTATCCCGATAAAAAGTAAGTGAACAGGTGAAAAAGCATCATTCAGCTTAGAAGGTGCTGCTTTTTGACAACTCGCTAATTAAGCAATAAAACACAACAGACTGAGGCTATCCCCAGGTTTTGCGGGAATTTTATAGGTTGACTTACGGGGCCAGACATCCCAAATCTACTCTATCCCATTGTTACTGCACTGAAGCTTCACCACATAAACCAATTGCACAGGCTTTATACTAATTTAAAATGCTTCCCAGTAATGACGCAAGCATTAACATTAATTTATACACGCAGAAGTAAAGTGTCTTTGTATTCTACACCACCAACTTCCAAGTTCTTTTCAAATGACATCCCTAATTTTTAAATTACCATATAAACCCAATTATGTTTAGGATCTTTTAGGTAATAGGATTCATAATTTTACGAAAAAAATTGAATAGAGAAGAATTAATGTTACCAAATATTTGAAATTTTTTTTTTATCTGTGATAGGTTACCTGGGGAAATTCTAGAGTAACCCTGTCATTGACTTTATTTCTTTGTTTATAGGATGAAATGCTTTATTTCTATGGCCAGGTTCTTCAGGCATGAATCTCTTTGGACTAGTTGTCTGAAAGCAGCCCCCTCCCAAAGTGTTTCTGAGATTTTCATTTGCCAATAAGACGGTCTATAATGACTCCCGAACAAGCTCTGTTGCTTGTGTTGCTCTGGGTCCAGCCTCCTCATCTCGCTCTACAGCTGCTGCTGACCCTTATAATAGAGCCATCATCTGGGGACAAGGGTCCAGGAGGGGATGGCCGGCTTCTCCACAGGTTGGGAATGGCCAGGCCTAGGCCCTCACCACCCACCATCACACCCCGGGCTCTGTGCGCACCAGAGTTGCCCATCCATACTGCTGCTGCAGCTGGAAAGCAGAGGGGTGGGGCTGAGCACCTCCTGGGCAGGGACATCCCACCCTTTCCCAACTGCCCTAGGCATTTGGCCTCTTCCCCCACCACAAGTTCTGCCTCACTCCCTAGTCCAGGGTGAACCACTTCCTGGCATGACTGACCAGACACCTGTGTCTCCTAGGATCTGGGGGAACCCCACCCTCACTGTCTGAGAGCTGTTCTTGCCATGTGCTTTGACCAAAGCAAGAACTATTTAGTTCTAGTTTTAGTTCAACATTGGGTCATTTCCTACACCTGGATTATTTCATCTTATCTATGGTGACCTTTTTACTGATTTGAATTAAGTATCATTAGAATTCTAGATTTTTGGCCATTCTGCTGTCACTGTTTAGACTAAATCAGCTCTGAAACTTGCTCTCATGTTTTTGAGATTTTTTTGTAAGAGATCTATAACTGACCACTCCAGGTTTCTACCAAGACATAGAAGTAAACCCAAGCAAAAGGACAGCCTACCTTCTGTGAAAAGTAACATGGGAAGAGAAGGGACACTTTAAAGCAGCTTCCTCTCCCCTCATGCATCAGCTGAGTGAAGGGCTGATCTTTGAAGTACTTCAGGAAGGACATATAATACTGAGTGACAGTAAAATCCTTTCCAGATGTGATTTATTCTAACAGTTCACAATTTTTGAATATGTTAAATTCTAGCTGAAATGCTACATTTTATAGAGAATGCCCTACAAGTTTTATTGACCAATAAAAAGACCCAGAACATTCTCCCCAGGAACTATCTTTAGAGGACATGATCCTTTGCCTCCTGCACCCAGCAGAACAGCAGCAACATCCAGAAGTCTGTTCTTTTCTTTAGAAGAATCTGTTCTTGTTAGGATCACTGTCTTCTCAGGACTTTTTCACTCATATCCATTGAAAACACTGAAAGGTGGAAAGAGAGTTTCTAAGTAATATTTTGATTATACTGTTTACAGTTAAAACATACCAAAGTAGAGCATTGCAGACCAAGGTGAATTGATTTTCAACTTTATTTGATCTGTATTTTAAAGATATTTAAATGAGTTAAGAGAAGTGATGTGTTCTAAGGACAAAATTTACAGTACATACGTACTAGAGGTGATTTGCTCACAAGTGAAAACATTATTAAGAATTCAGTAAACATGTTTTGTCAGGTAAAATTTACTATATATGAATTTGATAATTCAAGATTCCAAAGGCAATGAGAATTTATTTTGGTAGATATCATTGCTTTCCTTCCTGGGCTTCCACTACTATATACTGATCCTGAATCTAACTTGGTTTGCTCCTCAATCTACTTACATCACTAAAGTCAAATTTTTCTCAGGAAGGAATACTGATTATGCAAGATCCTGCACAGTTCCAGCACAGTGTAAAAAATATAACGTGCGTAAACTAAATCTTTTCAGGTGAATTCTGGATTGAGGCTAATTGATCTGGAAGCAGGCTGATGCACATAATTGGCATAACATGTAACAGGCATGTGTACCTGATTTTTCAAGCTGTACTATTAGTATAATTTTGACTCTCTCCAAGGGCAAAAATTAACCTTACCATCACCAGCTAGCAGTTTTTGAATAGTTTTCCTCGAATTCTAACTAATATCTATACCAGTAAAGCAAAATACACAAACTCCCTACAAGGATAAGAACTGGACGAAGCTGCCTATATAACCTCTAGAATCTGGGGTTGACTTCAGCTAATTACAAGGCTGATCACACATTCAGTATCTCTAGGCTTTCTAATAGGAAAGCAGGTAAGAAGACACTTTTTCTTTCTCCTTCTCTTTGTTTTAAGACCCCAAGTGAGGTCATTCAGTAATAACCAGAAAAGTGTGCATCTCATACTTCATTCCATTTGTGTTGCTTTATGGCACAGTTATAGTTGCTTCCCTTTCCTCCCACTTTTTGATTTCCGCCTTCTTGGGTTATCCTGGGTCAGAAACTTCAAAAAATACTGGTATAAAGGAGTCAGGGTTGACAATGGAACACTGATTGCTGACAGCAACAGCAGAACTTTATAGGGCAAGGATGAGAGGAACCCTCTCAGCCTTCTGGACTATGGGATGTAGGTTTCCATTTACTCCATCCGGTTAGGAAAACACACATGCATCAAAATCCAGTAGAGCAATACCAGGAAGGAGCCTCTAGAAACTCTACATATTAAACTCAGATAGGGATTCCAGTAATGGCCAGGAGGACAAAGACGCCAAGAGCAACCACAAGCACTGGGTTTGGGAATCTCTGTCTTCAGTAGCAATAAGAGCAATCACGCTAACACCACCGCATGGGGCCATTCATAAAAGGCTCCTACACACAAGGAAGGAAATATCTCGAACAATGAAAGGAAAAGAATACCTCAACAACATTTAGTTCAGGAGCCAGAAGAAACCCATAGAAACTCAGGACTCAGGAAGATATAGCATCTAGGAGACAGAGGCAGAAACCCACAGGGGTCGGGGGACGGAATGCTACGCACAAAGAAATAAAAGTAACCAGGGTTAAGAATTTTACCAACAGTAAATTCCAGACAACAATGAGCACTGGAAGATAACCACCTTGGGTATGTTTCATCCCATGCACATGAGTAGAAGACCTGACGTACATAACAAACTGCATGAACACTTGTTAAAAAAAAGACTCATAAGTAAAATGTCCACCTGTCTTATACAAGTAGCTACTGAGAATATGCTCCAACTCTCAGGAGGTAAAGCCAAGTTAAGGACCCCAAAATGAGGATGTCATAGTGTGAAAAGCAGTTAACATTAAAAGCCACTAAATCTAGAGTTAAGTTTAAATAGTTGATGGAAAAGAGTTCCAATTAACATAACAATAAAAATGTGTATTTTATATTGCAAAAAAAAAAAAGAGTTCCAAAACTGCATGAAATCTCAAGTAATTATTTTGGAGTAATGTGTCTAAAAATCCAAGGAAATTGGGTATAAGCCTTCAAAATCATGGAAAAGATCTAAGTAGTTAAAACAGAACCTACATGTTAAAATGACAAAAGCTGAACAGACAGCAAAGAGGTGCTAAGTGTCAAAAGCACAAAATAAGGTGAAAAACATGAAATCAAATAAATTAGCTTTAACCTGAAAATTAACTTTCAGATTGGTTTGTGGAAAAAAAAAAAACTGTATATAAAACTAAATAATACTTGACTAGTTTAAAAATAAATGATATATTGGGATGAAAGAGAAAAAAGGAAGGAAGTTATTTTAATTGTAGAAAGGTAGAATTTAATGTAAAAAATTTCACAGGTATAGAGGATCAATTTATATCGATAAAAATATTCTAGGTAAAGATGTAATTGGTATAAGCCTTGGTTCTCGGAAAAAACATGGCATCATGTTTAAAACAACAAACAGCTACTTAAATTAGTGTTTTTTTCTGCCTGTGGAAGAAGAGTAAACCTCTTGACCCTGAGACCGTATGATGCTGGTTCTTCTTCCACTGCCTGACCTTCAGCTCCAAGATCTACAGTCTTTACCAATCCAAGGGGACAGCCTGCCTCTAACGCACCATGTCCCAAACTTCAGCGTGTGTATGAATCACCTGCAAGTGCATATGAATCGCTTGGTGAAATGCAGGTCCCACACAGCAGCTGTGAGATGGATCTGGGGACTGGATTTCTAAGAAGGCCCCAGTTGATGCTCTGCTGCTGCTGCAAGGTCAAGGCAAAGCTGACCAAGGCCAAGATGACACTTGACACCCCAGATCCTCCCACAAGATGCTGGGAATGAGAACAAGGTAGAGAATGAGCTGATAGAAACAGATGAATGATCATCTTCTATCTTAAATTTAGGGTATCAAGAGATGTTGCTTCTTTCATGCTGTGAATAATTAGAAAAATATGATAAGTTTTTAGGCCTTAAAAAGTAACCATTAGTGGGTTAAAATAGATGGTCATCATATGAAGTAGTAGGGAAAGAAAAATGAAATATTAAGTTAGGCAATAACTTAAAAAAAAAAAGCCAAGGTAGAATGTAAAAAAACAAAAAACAAAAACAAACCCAGTAAGATGACAAAAGGAAACCCAAATAATTGGTTATGATTACAGATAAATGGGAGAAATGATCACTAATCACAAGAAAAAAGTCTTGGTT